AAATGTAATTTTGCGGTTGATAAATCGGACACGAGAAACAGGATCTGTAATACCCCAACGCAAAAATATTGGCGCCGGACGTGAACGATACGCCCGTACAAGTGAAAATGAAGAAGCAGCTTTAGAAATGTGCAAAGAAGATTCATCTACAAGTGTACGCAAAATCAGCCGAAGATTAAATATCTCGAAAAGTACAACTTATTTTAAAAGAAAACAGGATGCATACTTATCATTTCACCAAAGTACAAAATTTATTACCGCAAGATTATGCATGCAGAATTAATTTTTGCACATGGTTATTGGCACAAGAACCGGATTTTATCGAAACAATTTTATTTACGGACGAGTCCTGCTTTACGCGCAAAGGTTCTTTTAATACGTACAATTCTCACATTTGGAGCAATGAAAATCCACACGAATATCGAATTCAAAACTATCAACACCGTTTTAGTATAAATTTGTGGGCTGGTATACAAAATAATTTAATCGTAAGTTTTCTGTTTATTATTTGTATTATAGCTTTTGTAACAAAAAAATGATGTAATATTTTGGATGTAAGGTTTGTTTTAGAACAATTTATATCTATGTAATATCTATAACATATTAAATTACAGATTGGACCGTTTGAAATATCCATAAGACTTGATGGCAACGTTTATCAAAATTTTATAAATAATAATTTGCCAGAATTGTTGGAAAATATTCCACTAAATATTCGGCAACGGCTTGTTTTTCAACAAGATGGTGCACCACCACATAATGCGAGATGTGTACGCCAATCTTTGAGTGAAAAATTTCCGGGTAGATGGCTAGGACGCGGTGGTACTATAAGTTGGCCAGCACGCTCACCCGATCTGACGCCTCTGGATTACTTTTTATGGGGTCATATTAAAGAATATGTGTACAAAGAACCAATTAATACTCGCGAGGAATTACGAGACAAAATTGTTGAAACAATCGCCACAACGACACCAAACATGATTAGAAACGCAACCAGCAGTTTACTGCGACGCGCACAATTGTGTATTGAATGCGATAGGGGACATTTTGAACATTTATTATAAAAAATATTTTAATTTGTTATTTAATCTGTTAAACTGTTTTGTTGTTATTAAAATTCATTAAATATATTAAAAGTGTTAATTTTTTAAAGTGTATTAAATTAAGGTTTATTAAATACGTTTGAATTATAATTATTGTTTAAATTGATTTTTACTAAAACCATTGCAATTATTGTTTAAATTGATTTTTACTAAAACCATTGCAATTTGTATTTCGTTACGAATATTCCAAAATGTTCTAAAATACAAAATAAACGATAAACGAAAGCATAACGGCGGAATGGACAGCACCGTGTATCAAGCAAATTTTCCGAATATAATTAATTAAAAATTAATTACAAATGGCGCATAAATAAGAATATTTTATGTAAATTAATTAACAGCTATTAATTCTATTACAATTTATTTGTCTCGCACAGCATAGCGTGGATACCTTCATGGTAATGTTAATCAATGATTTTGACAGCTCAAGTTGAAATATGCAAATTTTTACTTGAATTATTTTTTATATGCCTTTAGTTTTTATATCTTTTTTTTTGTAAAAAAATGTATTAATATGCAATACATAGAGAAGCGAAAACATATTGCAAATTTATACGACAATAATATCATAAAAAGAGCGCCCCATTAATAGGAGCACTTTTTGCATTTGTCATTTTTCCGTACCTGAGCGTGCGAAATCTCAGCTCTGCCATTCGTTAAATGTAATTGCTTCCCGTTTAAAAGCTATTATAGCCTCGACATTTTTGTATTAGAATTTTCTTCTTAAAATATTGTAAGGAATCTACTATTAAGAGCAATTCCGGTGGTGTAGGACATCCTGTATATACACACACACACACACACACATACATATATATATATATATATATATATATATATATATATATATATATATACTATCCTAACAGCACAGATGTCTAGAGGACATCCAAAGTACATGCTGAGAAAGTACTGATAATATTTCTTTTAACATTTTTTCAGACCGTTTTTGAAATGTTCCTCAGGAAAATTTATGCTGTCTGGATATAACCTTATTCAACAATATTTTACACGACACTTTTTTTTGTGTTTCTATATCTAAAGATTTTTAACGATGTTTCACACAATATTTTACACGGCACTTTTCTTTGTGTTCCTATTTCTAAAGATTTTTAACGAGGTTTCTAACGGTACTTTTTTTTCTGTCACGATCCCTTTTGCTTTATTCACTATCTATATTGTTTTATTTGTTATCTATATTTTTATTTTCAACTTCAGCTTTGCGCTGACAAGTTACTATGGACATTCTTTTCTTTACATCTATATGCCTTTTAACTTTCTACTTTTTCCTTTCTTTGCACCTTAACCTACTTATGCCTTAGTTTTTT